CTATTTTGGTCTTAGCTATATACCCAGCACCGAGAGCCAGACACATATAGTTGCCGCTCAGTATTTGTTGAATGAAGAAGTCAGGATCAAAGAACAGAACTCTGCCGTGGGCGCAAAAGGCTGGCCGGGGGCGTGACCTCTTTGGAGGCGGAGTTTCCCAACCTCGACCAGGACCGGAAGCCTGGGCGGGGCTTCCCACCGTGGGCGCTCACGCCTCAGGGCGGGGCTAAGCGGGCAGTGATTTCGCGGTCGGAGTTGGGGCTTATATTCTCTCTCCCCGAGCAATTTCCTCCCCCAGAGCCCTGGCTCACCCGAAGGCACCTCTCCCCACCACTCGGATCCGCTCGTACTTCTCCATCTCATTTCTCAGAGTCACATTTCCGGAACCCCGACAAGCCTAGACGCGGCGCGTGCGCGGACCCTCCCTCCCTGGAGCCACGCCCCCTGTACTGTAAAATAATTGCGGGGTGGAGCAAGTGGAGCTAGGTGTTGATTCCACCTCTCATCTGTCTTGGCTGATTTGCACTGTTCTTGCAGCCCGAATCTGCAGTCAGTCTAACAGGGTTCAAGAAATGGGCGATATGCCATTTCTTGGCGCGCTCTGTAAAGGCCAACACAGTACCAGCCACTTAAATGTGGCCGCATCCGGCCCTCGCAAATCTCCTTTAGACCAGAAGGGTTCTCCGCGCAGGCCGAGTAAGGTTGGGAAAAGAGGATCGACTTCTCTCTTTCCCCTTCTTTGCCCACTAGTGACGCCGTTTCCGAAGGAGAGGGCAGATTCTCATTGGCACGCAAACGATAAACACTACTAAAACAACCGAGAGCGTCGGCGCTCTCGGTCTGTGGGGGCAGGGTGCAGGATTAGTTTCGTGTTTGCCTAGGGAGGGACCGGGGAAACCCTGAGCTGTGCAAGTTGATTCACCTAGGGAGAACGTAACACGATCTCCAGGCTGTCCCGACTAGCGAGCACCGCGCTCTTCAACACCCATAATTCCCCCGATGCACACATACAACGCTGCCTCCTACAGCACTCAACTAGGGAGGACCTCCTTGGGGGACAATGGGAGGGAAGTGGACCACTACCTGAAAGCGTCGGGGAGAGGAGGAAAGACAGTCATTTGGGTTATAGAGGTTCAAGGCTTCTGCCCAGAGGTAGGGGGCTGGTTAGTACCAATGTCTAAGATCTTGACCGGAAGTAAGTTTAATTCCAGGTGTCTCCCGGCGCCTCCTGATCTTCACAAGCTCCATAAAAGCTTAGTTAAGGAAGCAGGAAGGATGGTGATTAGCGTCCCTATTTCTGAGTGGGTGAGGAATATGAGGAAAGGGCTGTTTATCTTCTGCTCCCACCCTGTCCCTTGAAAGGGTGCCTATACTATCCGCGTGGAATGACTGCTGGAAGGGCCCTGTGAGGGCCCCTCGGTCGCTGGCTCAGGCTGGTGTGGCTGGCGGACAAAGCTACCCTGTGAGCAAAGGGGAGCCTAGAGGGAGAAAGCTGCTCAGCCGGGACACTCCGTGCTCTCACCTAGAAACCTTAGTTGACCCAGGAGCCCCACAGGGGTTAATGTGTAACCTTGGAGCCTTCGGGGAGGCAGAGCAAACACCCAAACTGCTTGGCGCCTCAGGCTTCTGGCTTTTCCTCCCTTTTGTAGAACCTCCTCACCCCTCTGCCTCAACTACCCCCATCTCCTTTACCCCTGCCCTCGGTTCTTCACCGCCCTTCCGTTCGCGGAATCTGGCTAACTCTCCGCAACCAACCACCTTGTTTTTTCGGCGGCGGGAGGGATTTGGCGCCACAGTGAGGACAGGCTGACACCTAGTGGCTGCGATCTGCAACTGCTCCAGGCCGCCGGCCAGCAGAGTGAGGGTCACCCCAGTAGCCTGGGCCTGCCCCAGCCTCCAGGGAGCAGGGAGAATAGACCTGGGGACTGTCTGAGGGAGGACTGTGACTGCCGCTCGGCCCCAGGAGCATAAGAGTTTGGGAGAAGGGGCGGTGATGGGTTAGTCGACAGTTTCTAGGCACTGACTCGGTGCGGAACGCGGTAGAGGCAGGTAAACATACTCGTCTCTCGCCTGAAGAAACTAGTGATCCAGTGCAAGAACAGGGTCCAAATGGAGATCACTGTCAGAAGCTGGGCACCGGCCCGTCCCCAGCACCAGGGATTAAAAGACGTGGGTGTGTGACGGGTCACGCCCAGCTCTGCCCAGAAGGGAGTTGAGGGCGGAGAGAAAGCTCTCTCAGTACCTGCCCAGGCAGGGGAGTCTGGACCCCCAGAAAAAGTTAGGGTGCGGGTTAACGAGACGAAGTGAGCGAGCAGGACTCCGTCGGCAGTCGGGAGGCGCCAGCGAGGGATGGCTCGGTGGCGGCGCCCCTAGGACAGCCGCCTTACCCTGAAGTCCGCGAGAGCCCGGCAGGGCCCAGGGGCCCCCGGGAAACGCCGCTTGCGCCCTCTGAGCTACAGAGGCGC